AAATATTTTTAAGATAATTAAACATTCTGGTTTTAAAAGCTAATTTTCCCTTAATAGATTGTACTTCATATATTTTATTTTAGAAATATTCACATAATTATACAATTTCAAAGGGTTCTACAGGCCAGTCAAATATTGAAACAGCTTTTCAAAAGGTGGTTCCATTATATTATTTTTTGTCTTAAAATGTATCTTATTATTATCATCAAAAAGTTTTGATTGGTACCTTGCCTAATTTCATGAGGATGTTGTCAATTATAGTGAGTATTTATACTACATTATCAACATAAAAAAATTAACGTAACTAAATCAACTAAACATTTCGTATATTATATTTTGCTAACTATTAACAACATGAGTATGTTAATGCTAATTAATAATAATAGAAAATTAAAATGGATTAATACTCTTCAAAAGAGGTAGATAATTGTAATAGAAAGGGTATTCTTGTAATTGTAATAAAAATACTTCAAAACGTAAAACATTGGGTGAAGTTTTCTTGTATGCCAATAGTCTTACGCAATAGCGAAATTCCTGAAAATATTTAATTTTTTTTAAATTAACACTGGGATCCATCAAAATCATGGCTTTTAGACAATTTTGTGAACAAGTCTATCATGAGAACAGGTTATCCGTAGGTCAAAAGATGCAAATTATGTACAATATGTGCTAAAAACAGTGGTTGATTCAAAAGAGGGAATGGAGGTAGTTTCTCCTCTCAGTAACTCTATGCCCTACGAATTACTTCAGTACTGTGAAAAATGTGTTAGAAAAATCGAATTAGGAGATTTACCCCCAACCCCAATTTTGGCCCAACAATTTAAGCACATTGCAACAAATAACACGTTCCAACAACTACTAACATGTGTCAGAATTGCTTCTTTGTTAGTCTACCATTACTTACTTGCTAATAACATGTGGTAGAATAGAATTTTTCCTTAAATTACCACTAGTAACCGAATATCCCTTTTTATTAAACGGTTACCGGTAGCAGACATTTTATTGTCGCTTCAGTTTAATTTTGCCGGTTTTGGATTATAAAGTTAAAATAGTAAATCTTTTACTTTATTATTCTTCTTATCTGTCATTCTATTTAAACAGTTTCTGTCTCTTTTATTACTATACTACCGATTGTTTCATGAAATTTAAATAAGTTACTATAGCGTTGATAAGTAATAAAAGAAAGGGACACTCTACAAACTGTTTAAATAGAGAAAGATACACAAAAAAAAACAGTGTTTGTTACCTGCTACTAGTCAAGAAAGATAAGGTCATCCTTCTCTTCCTTGTGGTAGATATACGGGTTAGTAGATTTATTGTTCCAGTAATAAATAATAAAGTAAATGATTTACAATTTAAACTGAAGCGACTATAGAAACTTTATTTAGCGTATTACGAAATTATATAAAATATGTATTACGAACCTGTAAGTCATTGTCCAGTTGTAAAATCCATTTGCATAATTAAGGTTTGCCTTTCTCATAGTTTTAGTTATAGTAATGTATTACATCTTACCATAATTTTATTTTTTAATTTACGACAGAAACCATGGTACTCATTATTCTACAGATTTTGTGGCAATATATTGAGGTCTAAAATAATGCAGAGTTCTTGGCGATATCACCGCATAATCACCATTTACCTATCGAAAAGATAGATAACTGAATTCAATATTGATTTTTTATAAGACGACGACAAAATAACAGGCTAAAGCGTACCTTTCATGCGTATATTATGGAGATCGAAAGTTTTCCATTCTTTAACAGGTAAATTTCTCTTACAATTAGAATATTGTTTCCTAATTTTTTATAAAGAAAATAAACACTTATCATAAGTTGATAAGATTTAAGAGTAAAAGTAAGTTGTCTTCAAACTACATGTATTTAATTCATAACTATTTAATGATGAAATATAAAAACAACAAAAATTAAACAAACAGCTATGGACTAAACCCATTAATGACAATTTACCTCAATCCGAAGAAAGAATACATACAAATTATTTAACAATTTCATGTTAGCTAATGGATAAAAACAATTTATTTCTTTATTTACTCAGACAATAGCCTAATAACATAATTATAATCATATTAGCTTACCTTATTATATAATTGAAAAACGTAGAAAAGGCAGGAAACTATTAGAGGGTGGATGAAGACGGCAAGCCGCCTCACTATACCATGCATTATTTGTATCTTGGCGATTTTGGATTTGACTCTCCAATTATTATTGATATCACTATTTAAACGGTCGCTAATTGGCGTACTTACCCAGTAATAGGTGTTGGCTTGCAGTTTTAAATAAATAACTTAGATGTACCAACTTTGTTCTGGATACATTGTAACAATTTAACTGCCTGTGGGGCAATTTTTTAAACAATATAAGAAACTGACCCTTGTCACAAAGTTAGAGGGTTAAGAAGAACCAGCTTCTTTTCAGTTAAACATAGTAAAACGTGGACAATGAAGGTTGTTTATTACGCTTATTTCCTAATGATTGTTTCAAAGCACCTGAAAACTGATTGCACCATTAGATTCTACGCACATTTTTACATACCTGCACTTTACCAAATTCTGTTTATCTCCAAGAAATTCAACGAGCGCTTTTTTTGCTCTCATAATTTTTCTTATTTTCGCGTTTAACAGTGCCGTAAGGTACTTTTTTGACACAGCTCTTGAAAACTGATTGCACCATTAGATTATATGCACTTCTTGCGTACCTGCACCCACTTAGTGTTTCCCAAATCCTCTTTATCTTCAAGAAATTCAACGAGCGCTTTTTCTTGCTCTTATAATTTTCCTTGTTTTCGCGTTTAGCAGTGCCGGAAAGTACCTTTTAGACACCGCACTTGAAAACTTATTGCACCATTAGATTCTACGCACTTTTTCACGTACCTGTACCTTTTCAGTGTTTTCCAAATCCTCTTCATTTCCATGAAATTCAACAAGTGCTTATTTTGCTCTTATCATTTTCCTTATTTTCGCTTTTAGCAGTGCCGGAAAGTACGTTTTAGACACCGAACTTGAAAACTGATTACACCATTAGATTATATGCACTGTTTTACATACCCGCACCCACTTAGTGTTTCCCAAATCCTCTTTATCTCCAAGAAATTCAACGAACGCTTTTTCTTGCTCTTATAATTTTCCTTGTTTTCGCGTTTAGCAGTGCCGGAAAGTACCTTTTAGACACCGCACTTGAAAACTTATTGCACCATTAGATTCTACGCACTTTTTCACGTACCTGTACCTTTTCAGTGTTTTCCAAATCCTCTTCATTTCCATGAAATTCAACAAGTGCTTATTTTGCTCTTATCATTTTCCTTATTTTCGCTTTTAGCAGTGCCGGAAAGTACGTTTTAGACACCGAACTTGAAAACTGATTACACCATTAGATTATATGCACT